CTACTTGGGAGACTGAGGCATGAGAATTGCCTGAACCTGGGAGGCGGAGGTTGCAGTGAGCCAAGATTGAGCCACTGCACTCCAGCCTGGGCAAAAGAGCAAGACACTGTCTTGAAGTAAAAAACAAACAAAACCACTTAATGTTCTGTTTATCATAAATATTGGAAATTTTTTCAGTTTTATAAAAGATTTATACAAATACTTTATCTCTGTTTAACTGGTTCTACTGTTCAGTCTTTTAATTTTTATTTAAGCTCTGGGACGCGTGTGCAGAACATGCAGGTTTGTTACATAGGCATACATGTGCCATGGTGGTTTGCTGCACCCATCAACCCATCATATACATTAGGTATTTCTCCTAATGGTATTTCTTCCCCAGCCCCCACGCCTCTGACAGGTCCGGGTGTATGATGTTCCCCTCCCTGTGTCTATGTATTCTCATTATTCAGCTCCCACTTATGAGTGAGAACATGTGGTATTTGGTTTTTTGTTCCTGTGTTAGTTTGCTGAGAATGATGGTTTCCAGCTTCATCCATGTCCCTGCAAAGGACATGAACTCATCCTTTTTTATGACTGCATAGTACTCCATGGTGTATATGTGCTACATTTTCTTTATTCAGTTTATCATTGATGGGTATTTGGGTTGGTTCCAAGTCTTTGCTATTGTGAATAGCGCTTCAATAAACATAAATGTGCATGTGTCTTTATATTAGAATGATTTATAATCCTTTGGGTATATACCCAGTAATGGGATTGCTGGGTCAAATAGTATTTCTGGTTCCAGATCCTTGAGGAATGGCCACACTGTCTTCCGCAATGGTTGAACTAATTTGCACTCCCACCAACAATGTAAAAGCCTTCCTTTTTCTCCACATCCTCTCCAGCATCTGTTGTTTCCTGACTTTTCATTGATCACAGTGCTAACTGGCATGAGATGGTATCTCATTGTGGTTTTGATATGCTTTTCTCTAATAAGCAGTGATGACGAGCTTTTTTTTCTTGTTTATTGGCCACAAAGATGCTTTCTTTTGAGAAGTGTCTGTTCATATCCTTTGCCCTCTTTTTTTTTTTTTGAGACAGAGTTTCGCTTTTGTTGCTCAGGCTGGAGTACAATGGCTCTAGCACTCCAATGCCAGAGTGCAATGGCTCTTGGCTCACCGCAACCTCTGCATCCTGGGTTCAAGTGATTCTTCTGCCTCAGCCTCCCGAGTAGCTGGGATTACAGGCATCTGCCTCCACACTGGCTAATTTTGTATTTTTAGTAGAGACAGGGTTTCTCCATGTTGGTCAGGCTGGTCTCAAATTCCTGACCTCAGGTGATCCGCCCACCTTAGCCTCCCAAAGTGCTGGAATTACAGGCATGAGCTACTGTGCCCGGCCCTTCACCCACTTTTTGTTGGGGTTGTTTTTTTTCATGTAAATTTGTTTAAGTTCCTTGTAGGTTCTGGATATTAGCCCTTTGTCAGATGGGTAGATTGCAAAAATTTTCTCCCATTCTGTGGGTTGCCTGTTCATTCTCATGATAGTTTCTTTTGCTGTGCAGAAGCTCTTTAGTTTAATTAGATCCCATTGTCAATTTTGGCTTTTGTTGGCATTGCTTTTGGTGTTTTAGTCATGAAGTCTTTGCCCACGCCTATGTCCTGAATGGTATTGCCTAGGTTTTCTTCTAGGGTTTTATGGTTTTAGCTCTTATGTTTAAGTCTTTAATCCATCTTGAGTTAATTTTTGCATAAGGTGTAAGAAAGGGGTCCAGTTTCAGTTTTCTGCATATCGCTAGCCAGTTTTTCCAACACCATTGATTAAATAAGAAATCCTTTCCCCATTGCTTGTTTTTGTCAGGTTTGTCAAAGATCAGATGGTTGTAGATGTGTGGCATTATTTTTGAGACCTGTTCAGTCTTTTTAAAGTGATTTTTTATTCATTTTTCCTTGGTGCTGGAACCTATTTTTAAACTTTTTATTTTGGAAAATTTTAAACATCTATAAAAGTAGAATAGTATAATGAGCCCCCAAATTCCCACCGAGTTTCAATACTTATGTTTTACCTCGTTTTATTTATAGATAGCTGACCATAACTCCCTCCCCTGCTCTCCAGTCCTGGATTATTTTGAAGCAAATCCCAGATGTTGTCATATTATCCTTATTATTATTATTTTTTGAGACAGTCTCACTCTGTTGCCTAGGCTGGAATGCAGCGGTGCAGTCTTGGCTTACTGCATCCTCCACCTCCCAGGTTCAAGAGATTCTTGTACCTCAACCTCCCCAGTAGTTGGGATTACAGGTGTGTGCCATCACGCCTGGCTAATTTTTGTATTTTTAGTAGAGACGAGACTTCACCATTTTGGCTAGGCTGGTCTCCAACTCCTGACCTCAAGTGATCTGCCCTCCTCTGCGTCCCAAAGTGCTGGGATTACAGGCATGAGCCACTGTGGCAGGCCCCAGATGTCATATCGTTCTTAAGTACTTCCATTTGTGTCTCTAAAAAGGTAGCTTTTCTTTTTAAAAAAACATCACATTTTCACACCTAAAAAATTAAGAAAAAAAATTTAATTTCTTTTTTGAAGGTGAAGTTGTCCTTTATGGTCCAGGTTGGAGTGCAGTGGTGTGATCTTGGCTCACTGCAACCTCCGCTTCCTGGGTTCAAGCAATTCTCCTGCCTCAACTTCCTGAGTAGCTGAGATTACAGGTGTGCACCACCTCACCCAGCTAATTTTTGTATTAGTAGAGACGGGGTTTCACTCTGTTGATCAGTCTGGTTTCAAACTCCTGACCTCGAGCAGTCTACCTACCTAGGCCTCCCAAAGTTCTGGGATTACAGGCGTGAGCCACTGTGCCTGGTCAAAAAATTTTAACGTTATTAAATATCTAGTCAGTGTTCGAAGTTTTTCAGGTATATCAATTAAAAAAAAAAACAACAGTGGATTTGTTTCAGTCAGTGAGTTCATACATTGCAATTGGTTAATATTTGCTGTCTTTTTCCCCCATGCAGTTTATTTTTTGAAGAAGTGGGTTACTTGTCCTATATGATTTCTGTTGCATCCTTAAGGTTTGTTAAACACATTCTTCTATCTCCTTTATTTCCTAAAAAGTGGTAGTTGGATTAAGTGACTTGATGAGATTCAAGTTCACTTCCTTGGCAAGAATGTTTTAAAAGTGGTGATAGGTACTTCCATCAGGAGGTACATTATGTCTGGTCATCTCTCTTTTTGATCTGTCATTGGGGGTTGTAAAATACTGATATTTTGTTTCTATCACTTCTTCTTCACACTAGCTGGGATACTTGTAAAAAGAAAACTTGTCCATATCAACCACTTGGTTGCTCTGAGATGCAGTTCATATAGGAAAGGCAGGATAAATGGTTGATTTTGTTAATTTTGTAAACATTTTTCAAAGGTAACTAATTTTTGAGAGAGGGGAATGTCACTTTAAATGCATGTATTTTAAACTTATTTGCTATATTTCAGTCTACTGTAGTTATTGTCCTCATTGATGTTTAATTTGTCCTATCTTTGTCCAGTGGGAATTTCAAGTGAACTCTGAAGTCCTGTTGACAGCATCCTAGTAGTTCCTAATAGCTCCCTTGCCTTTTGTTATGACAAGGGATTCCAGGCTCATCTTCTGTGTTTCCTGTTCCAGACCCAGTGTTTCTCTAAGGAGTCCTGGTTCCTTTTGGTGGGAAATAGTATTATAAATCACAGCCTGGGATTTAGGACTTTTAGGAATGGGATGGGTTTGCCCCCAGGTCAGTCATAATTTCTAGGCTTCTCCAGGGGTCAGATTTTGGAAATATGTGTGTGTATTTTTAAAGGTAAATTGCATTATA